TATTGTTCTCTCATGCTTATCCCACCGCCGTTGTTTTAATAATAACGATTAAAATTACAAAGTTATTGCATTAGTGTCCTCGTTTTTAGATAAAGTGAAGATTCGATGGCGGCGCGTCATTATAATCGCCAAACACGATCGTTAGGCGGAATGCATTTTACGTGAAATGACATTCCCCGCATGTAAGCGAATTTAAAAACATTTCTCGTCATTTTAATCCCAAGTTACGCTCACTTATGTGAAGCAAAATTGGGAATTCGTGAATCATACGCATTAACGGAAGTTAAGTAAAGATCAAAAGCAGTTAAGTAGGTATTTCATTGAAGTTTCGAAAAAAATTGTTCATATTAAAATATATCTGGTTATTTTATCACACCGTGAGAGACGTGCAAGATGAATAAAAAGTGAACGCAGACTTTATTGATAGTGGTTTACACGCTTGCACTGAGCTTTTTATTCTGAATTTAACATGGGAAACATGATAAAGAAAATATATTGAAGACAAGACATTCCTGACTTTAGTGTCGCGAGTGCCTATTATATTCAACACATCTGCAATACAAGCATGAGATGGGTATGAAGTCTGTTGGCACATACAAATTATGATTACACATAGAACAAGCAATCAATTAAATAAGACTGAACAATCTGTCGTAAAACTTCGTCTGGGATCGGGTTAGGTCGGCAGTAAAGCCGCGGCACACAAGCGTTTACCCGTTTGCCTCGTAACTCGTGCAAGTTATAGTATTTGGGGCAGTTCAAAGTGGCCGACGGATATTAAAACATGAGATATGGCCGTGCGACCGCCGATGTACGGCTCATTCAACTCTGATTTCGACACGGACGTTTACTTGGATTTCTTCTTCATAATTGACTGAAGTCGTATTTAAAATAAGAATAATGTGACACCGCCAGTTCGAAATTTTGTTATTTTTACTTGTCTAAAGCGGCAATTTTCTAAATAATAGATAGAGGATTCGAAGAAGTTTTTGAATGTACCAAAATTACATTAGAAACTTGAAGATTCTAAAATAAGATGTGCTTGAAAATAAAAAAGTTTTGAACGATAAAAATGCTTCGTTTCTGGTAAGTACCTACATCTAAATCCTCGATGTTAGAGTGAAACAGCTTCTTCTGTAGTAGAGTCTGATTCAAGATATGTTTCTATGGTTTGGCCTAATTTGCGTAGAAACTCAATATATAATCATTTTTTGTCATTATTTAAAAACAGTATCGACGTGAAATATTGAAGCAAGAAAAGCACAAATTCCTTATGTTTTTAAAGTACTAATCGTAAGCCTGTCGTGGAATCCTGACCGCGGACAACGCGCGCCATTAATGACCATAGACGCGAGCACATTAAGGCTGCCACACACGACACGACACATTAATCAGGACGCGTCACGTCAGTAGCCAGTGGTGACATAATAACGTGTTCGCGACTCGCTGACAAACTGTTTTTATCGCGCCCGCTATCAATCAACCAGTGACACGAGCTTCCGTGTGGGAATTACTTTCTCGATGGCCGTCCACCAATAATAAAATGTTTGTGATTAACTAGAAGCCAACGGGTTTGTGTTTAGATACTGCAGAGGCGTTGTTTGAAGGCTATAATGGAAAACAAGCCTGCAGTAATTTATGTCTAGTACGTACTTAACATTATTTACAATTACAACTATGCGAGTCGTTTGTAATGTCATTTGTCAAGTAATTATACGAAAATTATCAATAACTACATCAATTTTTGTATCACTCCGTTATAATTAATAGCGGAGGAATTGTCTCAATGAATACCACGTTAATAATGATTAATGATCTTGTACAGAAATTATAAATGCTAATACGCTACGCGCGCGTTGAATATTTCTTGAGTAATAAGGTAATAATTTGTAAAATGTAACTATACGCCGATGACATTAACAAAGTAGTTAAATAATCGTTGAATTAATTTATTCATAACCCCTTCTTTTTATGTATTTTTTTATCCAAGTGCCGTTGCGTGTGTGGTCGTCTTTATAATGCGAAATGTCATCGAACAAATTTTGGCGCGTAAAGAAAAATGATTCTTTGACGTGTTGATTGATTATTTATTTCATGTTAAATAGCTTTATATTTTTTATAATAAAAATAATATTGTAGGATAAATGTACTTACCTAACATAGGTAATAGGTATATTTGAGACTAACATAATATACAATAATTACTGGAACTTGGGCATGTGCTAATAATAAAATCTACAAGGAACTTAATAAGAATATTTAATTTTTATATCTGGCAATATTTTTAAATTAAAACTATACCTACATATACAGGGTTGAACAAGAAGACGTACTATATCGTTACATAAAAATTAAAATTATTAAAGTAACTACATGTTCTCAAAGACATATTTTGTACGGAAAAAGCCGCTTACTTGTCACTTCAGACATAAATGACTATTACTGTCATACCTTGTAAAGTTATTTCGCAATGAACCCTAAACTATCATAGCTAAGCACCTACTCTGAGTTACGAGCACTTTGCAATGTTCCAGTTTTAGTATGATACCTTCATTTTTCTAGGAAAGGTAAAAACTGTAGGAAATTAATGAGAAGTTGACAACCCTGGTTAGACACTAACTACGCGAGCTGTCAAAATAAAATATGAGCCAATAAGGGCGCGTCGAGCGGTGACAGGGCCGTCACGCTGAAGAAATTACAATATATGAACTTATTAAAATATCTTCAGTTTTTTTTCTCGTTTCGCGGTCGGATGACACAGACGTCGAGGCTGAGTGGCGGCAGGATTGGTAGTTTGTTATTTTCATATCTCTTCCTGCATTCCTGGAGACATAATGTCTGCTACACGACAATTTAGTTTTAAAGGAGTCGCATGACGTATAGGTAGATTACAAAATTGTAATTAGGAAACCAAACTTGTCTATATATATTATGTAAGTGACGATTCGAAACACAGATCCGTCAAATAGCACCAGACTGACATAAAGTTAGAATTATAGAATATTCGAGAACGTAGCATGTTTACAGCAAGCGTAAAGAATGTATGAACTTTAAAATAACGACCGTCGCATCGAAGACCGTGGTGTAATGTGATGACTGTGAAATAGGGAACAATGTCACGCATTTAATTTTATTTGTTAATAAAATACCAACGTATTTAAAATGATGAAAATGTCCATAAATCCAATATTTATGACTAACACACCATCAATAATTTCACAAAGCCGTAGAGAACGTTTAACTATCCAATCAGATTTCTGTAAGCAAAAACTCTGGGATCAATTTAAAGTAATTTTTCCTGTAAATTACCTCATTTCACTGTTTTCTGTATAATTTCAAAATTGATGAAATCTCAATGGCTAATAAATTTGGTAGAAAATTGATTTTATTATAAGAAAAAAGTATAGATGTGGAAAGCGGTGTCTTCAAACGGCATATTTCACACGCACCGGTGTTAACTAGTTAAATCCCGTTGAAAAAGTCATTTTACAGTTATGCTGGCACATATGGTGCGGCGGTGTGGCGGTGGCACAAACATTTGACACGCGCGATCTGGCTCGACTGACGAGTGGCGACAAAAAATGTTCTTTATTACCCCACTTAACATACTTGACATTGTTTTTGTAAGAGAAAAATAATATGCTCACTTCAACTCTCCGCGTTGTAAATATTTGTACACACATTTGTCACTTTACGGACGAATAATTGTGAAATCTCTATTTCCACGAAAATAGCACCTGAAGTGGAACCGACAGATTTCGTCGCTTTTTGTTCAGTAAGAAAGTATGATTTTGTTACATTTTTAACACATTATCCTAACAATAGAACATAATAGAGCTATTAATTTCGGTGGTAACATTATTTAATATTTTATTTTTAATTGCCTTTCGCACGGAATGATTTATAGTCAAATAAGACAGCTTTACAATAATCATCCATTGTTTTTGCTTTCACAGACGATAATTTCCGAGTTACAAAGTGCATTTTTGCAACATCTGATGTAAAGCGGCCATTTTTTTGAATTCCATTAATTATTTCACTACCGAGTGGCAACATTGACGAAATTATAATGACGATAGTGTTGTAGCACTACGTTTACAAACAGTCCGCTAGACGGCGGTAAAAACTAAGGATTTTTTATTTCGGTACCGAATGCAATAAAAACTGAAACAAAGAGGAAGGAACGCAAAAAGCGTGACGGACAGACGGACGGATCTCCAGACATCTGTTGCTGACGGTGTGGAGAATCGCGTGATTCCATGTGTTAGATCAGGTTAGGGTTTTGGGAACGTAACCGCATTAGATGTGGGTATAGGATCAACCTTCGTAGGTAAGATTGATTATGGATTCCGCGAACACGTTGACTCAGATTAAAATGATTCAAAATTTATAATGCGAGTTATGAATGTTACTGAAGAAGCTGTTCTAATCTTAAAAGAATACAATAAACTATTCAATAAAGATCTACAAAGCTTATTGATTTTGTATAATAAACAACATTATTTTTTCAAAACAATTTGGAACTTATTATTATCTATTGATGATTAAATTAAGTTGTCAACATCAACAGCTTGTCTTACTATGTAATGTTTTTTTATAGTATTGATAAACATGCCCAATATCATAAGCTTCACATACAAATAGTAAAAGCTGTAAAATACTTTATATTTATATGTCGCGTTCAGTAACTGCATCACAATATTTCTGATAGATTGCACTCGTTAATTAGGATATTTGTCACGTCGGCGCCGCGTTCCTGGACGGATACGAGCGCGATATTCAATTTGCGAACGCACCGAACGCCGCCATGACAGAGCATCAGCCATTTGTAACGGTTACCGTACCAAGGAGTGCGTGATGAATAGAGGTTTTGTACAAATCAATTTTTATGCCAAATTCTAAGACGTTAGCTTTAACACATGTCACTTTCAAATAAGTATTAGAATTTTGTAATGATTCCAAAAAGTATGACTGAAGTTTTTTATAACTAAATCACTGACCTGTATTACTCTCATGGGTAACCCCGTCTCCTTCGCTAGCTGTTCTCTTATATGCCTCGTTGGCTTCGGCGTTTGGGAAAAAGCCGACTTCAGAATTTCTAATTGCTTCGCCTTTATTGTAGTCCTCGGTCCCCTTCGCTTGGAGCCTCCATTCCCATCGTCAGGGGACTTATTCTCAGCTTGAGAGTCTCTAGTCTCCGGGTCCCCGTCCAGCGAGCCCTGTGAAGTGAAGAGAAACAACTGAATGCGACTATGTGAACATGCCCCGAAGTTGTAACAGTGGGATTGTCGATTTATTAGCAGACATCATTAATAGTAAGCTAGAGTTTTGGGTCAACATCATGCACCTAAATATTGCGTAAATATTCTAATAGATAACACTGGAAGGTAAATCTACTTTAAACAAACAATATAACTCTTATGAATCAGTTTCTTATTTAAATCCGATAACCATTTATATCATCAACATCATTTAATCATTCAGTAGCGTCGATAAATCTACCAACCTGGTCTTCAGAGTCATCATGAGGCTTAGTATCTCCGTTATGCGATAGTTCGGAGTGTAAGGCTGGATGTGGCGCATGCGCTGGACTACTCGAGTTGTTTGCAGCTCTCGATTCATCCTCTTCTTCTTCATCAGACCCCGAACCTAGTAGTGAATCCGCTGTGAACAAATATTTTAGGTTAAGAAAGTCATAGAACTTATTTAGCATACCTATAGAACTGACTGCCAAATATATTACCTACTACAGGCAACAAATTGTCGTCTGCATGGAATTTTATTGAAAATAAAACGTACTTTCTTCTTTTTTCTACACAAGTATCGTATGTAAAAATAAACCATTAAAAACCCCTTTAAAATAAAATTGACTTATCAAAAAGCAATCGCGTCACCCCGAGCCGGTTTAACCAAATAAAAATGTAATTTCGAGTGAAGCGTCCCCCAAAGAAATGGGAACAGAAAGAATTAGCCGCAAAAACAATTACTTATGGCGGAGGGAGAGGGTTCCTACTAGAGGTTCTCGAACAACTCGAATAGATTTTGCAAAAAAAAAATGTGATGTTCCCAAAAAAACATGGATATTGTAAAATTTGACAAGAAAAAATGCATAATGTCATTTTCTTTTCGAAGAGGAACAGGATTCAAACATTATTATTAAATCAGGAAAAATAATTTCAAACTCGCAAAACAGTTTAAAATATGAACATTAGGTATTTAACTCGTCGAGTACCGGTTTTGTAGACACAATTATAGAACAATAGGTTGCGGTCACCGGTGACCGCTTGGTGTTTGACAGTTTAATGAACAGTTAACTGATAATAACGTAAGTATCCAATAGCTAAACACATTTTTTACCCGACTGCCAAAGAAGGAGGGTAATGTTTTTTATGTTTTGTTGTTTTGTTAGAAGCTTTTAAACTATAGCGTACGTACATAATTTCTAATTTTTAATTATAGCCCGGTCATATGAAACGAAGAGTGCAATAAAGTACCTATATTATAGTCCACCTATCTCGTGAACTAGCCATATTTCATTAGGTCTTGCACCATAGATATTAATTATTAATCTGATTGTAAATCTTAGTTTACTTAAGTTTATTTAAACAATAACTGCATAATTCTCTGTGTCAAAGAGACAATCGAACATTCTGATACTAAAGTCATTTGCGAACTCGATTCAAAATCGTAATAAACGCAATTTGCGAATCTTCGTGAAACATTTAGTAGGGGTAGAAAAACCGTTTATTTCTTGCAAACATGGAGGGTGGCTGGAGGACGTTTGCAGAAGGGGACCAAGTGACCGGACACTTAGCTGTACTGTAGGGGTCTCTTGGACCCTAGACCTGAGAACTTGGCACTTGTCGACTATGGACATTGCACGTGTAGTTTACCCACCAACGATCAAGTTATTAGTCTGATCACCCAATTGTTTGTCTTCAATCGTGTTTTGTTTAATTGGTAAGGAGTCTGTGTTTATTTATTTAAGAAAGTATGTTTAATCAGAAGACTAGTTACTTGAACACTTTTTATTAAATCGAGATGCTGTTTTGTAGCAAGTAACGTTATTTATGAATTTTATTTTTGCTCGCCTTGATTGGCATTATTTACTAGTAAACTTCTGAGATATTTTTAACTTAAAGTTGAATAAAGTACAATAAGGTCTTTCTTCAAGTAGAAATGTCCCCCCGTCCGACCAGAAACAGACCCGAGCGTACGGCGCGTCGCGTTCCGCGCGCGCCTCAAAGAGCTATCAGACCACCACAGATGGGGCCCAATAGGGCCGATGCCGATTCGGAGTCGCGGAGAACCTAACGGGTAACCGGGGCTCCGGCTCGACGTGCAGGAGAAGGAACGGGGTGGTTTTTAGTCAGTAAGAGTCTGACACTCCCTCCCGCCTCACCCAGGCGGGGGCAGTCATTCGATGATTTTCCCCCCTTAAAAAAAAAAAAAAAAAAGTAGAAATGTATAACTTCATATTACTAAATATTAAAGCCTAGGTACACTAACAATAATTATATTTTCGCGAGCTAAACACAACAGTCATAAATTAGTCGACTTCAAAATGAAATCCATTTTCATTATTTTTTTTTAATCCAACCGGCGCAGGCCACGGTACCGTCTGTTCAGCCTGAGGCTATTTTAGGGCGGCGTACACTATAACATCTGTCATGGCACGAGATGAGCTTGTCTCGGAGAATATATTATGGCATGATGTGTATACAATATTTTAATAACTTTATCTAACACATAAAATAGATGTGTCGATAAAAACGTTAATAGACGGCGCCAATTTTGGTAAGGTCGTGTTTATAAAAGACAAACATAGACACGGCAAGTTTCCCGATGAAGTGTCGCTTGGCACTTTATGAAACAGAAGCTCTATCTTATTTATTCCAATTTCAAATATGATTTAATATTTGACTAGAGTTATTCGAAATTCCAAATTTAAACCGTTGTCAGATGTCCATCTTTATTTTTTCAGAAAGATGGTGATACACCTTTCGTTTCGGCCTCATTTCTCAATACTTAGCTTTTTTGACACAAATAAGGAGTTGCGTGGCAACAAGGGCCCAACTTAATTAAGCCTATATCGCGATGAGCCAGCGTTTACTACAGCTTGACTTATATTAATCTTACTGCGTTCCCGCCACTGACTTGCGCTTCTATAGCCAACTTGCAAGTCATTTTGGGGTACTACGACATAGTAATGAAGAAAAAGTTGAGTTTTTCTGTATCGTATCTTCTCTTTTTAGTTGGAAAGCGTTTAAAGATGTTTGTTGTTTCGAATATTGTGAAACAAAGGAAGAGCAAAGAGCGTTTTAGTAATAACAAGTGTTTAAGTCAAATAGCAACTAATTGAAACGATGACGCAGAAGGTAGGACCTATGTAAAATTTAAGATAAAATACTCAATTTTTTTGCAAAATGTTGTAAAACCAACCGTAAAATATTAAAACTACGCAATTCTTTATTTAAAAGCACCAATCTCTGGAACTACCAGCTAGATAAGGTATCATATATATCTACTAATATATCCACAGAAGCTTTTCTAGGGCATGGGAAAATATTCCACAAAAATTCAACATAGTCTCCTAAAATATCAAGACCCACTTCTAAAACTAAAACCTCTTCGAAAGCACTAACAATCTAATCACCGAGCAATATTTCATCACCTATCACAACTTGATCGGTAGGAGTATGTTTGCTTTACCCTCTTAGGGGTAAAACGTCCGTGCATCAAGGGTGCTTTACCCCTGAGACCTTGTTGTACAAACACTAGAGCCCTGTGATCTTTTGTGTCTGTTTGTTGTATCTATGTTAGTTTGCCTTTCAAAGGATACTAGTTACTTTAAATATCCTTAACGGCATGTGTATTGTTTGATTAAGCTACTAGAGATAAGATTTATATAAATTTCATAGAAAATGTGTAAAAAATCTATCTGCTTACCAAATCTATTGACAGATAAAGAGTTATGCAAATAAAGAGTTTGAGTTTGAGTTTGATAGCTCTTTAGTTTGGAAATATTAAGTGAAACAAGTGAATTTATTTCCGTAAATAGGCTACAAGGCAGCACTTTTACACGTCAATTTTATCAAGCGAACGATGAGGTCGACATTTCCTAAAAAAATATGTTATAGGCAAGATATGCAACACACTTATGTATCCTGTTGTTCAATAAAATTAATCTAGTTCTAACCATGAAAGTTATTTACTATTTCGATAGGTGATGAATCTATTAGATTGAAAATGAAATATGTAGTTCCAAATATGTAGAATCGTTAGTTTTGTGAGCTAACCTGCAGAGAACGCAGTTTGAAACTGATTAACGATGACAAATTGCGACTGCTGTCGATATGGAATGGGAACGCGGATTCCTCTTGCACAGTCGGGTCCCGTAGGTACTGGCGCGACCACTCACCTATGAGCTCCCCACCCCGCTACCAAAATCAATTTTAAAACCGCCCCCCGTTTAAACGACTTCCTTTGTCCCGCGCTGTACCTCGCTAATCGAATTTTGGCGGGAAAACGGTCTTTTATTGTCGTTCAATTTCGAATATAGAACAAGTTCTCTTTGATGTACCAAATTCGAATTTAAAAATTTTGTGGCTTCTTTATTTGCAATTCATTATTTATCGATAGTCGTTCGATCGATTTTGATGTTGTGCACCGGTGGCCTCTGTAACGATTTAATCATGTCTGCCATACTTAATGGTTTTGTTTTATGCTAATTTCAGAGCTAATAACTGGTTTCAGATAAAACTATATGTATTGTTTTACATAAACTCGCATTCAAAAACATAATTTACATCGAGATAATCAACAATTTAGGCCCATTAACAATTCAATCAGCGTGATTCATGAATATTTTTTTACCAAAAAACACCAGTGCGCTATCTTTAAATCTATAACAACCTATTAACGCAGCGAACGCAGTAAAAATCACAGATTATTTTGTATTACGGCCATATTAAAGTTTGTTATAGCGTGTTTATGGGGCTGACCGTTAATTCCAGACCACCATCTCAAATGTAAAATAAGAAACCGCGAGATAAGGATCTAAGAACATAAAAGATATGGGAACCTTTGTGGTGCCGGTAGCCGGCATATACTTATTTACGCCCATATACACCACGGCCGTATAAACGTAACGTCGCACTCACACTTGGGTAGTGATGCGGCACACATGAAAGGGTGCGGTGTACGCACACGTGGAGCGAAGCAACCTGATTGGTGGATGCGGCGGTGACGACCACGCCCTCTTTTATCGACGTTGCGCACGGAGCGTGCGTGCGAAACACAAGTATATGTAAAATCAGCTATAGGTAGGCTCGAGAGCGGTTTTTAAATTGTCATTTCCATCGGCCGCCCTGCCTGATAGCTTTGGGAGCCTCCGCACAGAGAATTGTTTTAGAACTAAACGTCGTGATGTAAGTGAGTGGACGACACAAGAATAGAATTGTTATGCGACAGTTATGTCATGTCATTTGTTACGGAGCGTACAGTTGCATTATTATTAGTGTCAAAACAGACATTTTAACATAATATAAGAGGAGATTCCTGGTTATTTATCTTCCTAATATTTTTGTTAAATTTATATGTAAAATCTATTTTATTTTTCAGCTGTCCTTACGTCACTCAAGCGCAACAAAGCATGATAAAAC